TAGAAGGTTTCGAATGAAATCTGCTTCAAACGAGTACAAAACAAGCCGGCCAGAAGGGGTGCACAATTAGTACCCATTGGAATACAAACTGTCTGTTGAAATATCAGTCCTCCAAACTCAACAAATATATTGTCGATTAAAAAGTCCAGCATTTTGATAATATCATCTTCACTGTATTTTCTGATAGAATCAGTGTGGTTCTTTACAAAATAAGAACTATTATAACCCAAAACAAGAAATTTATATCTACGATGCCCATTTTTATAGAAAAAGACCTGTTTAATGAGATGGTGAAGTCGATCTTTCAATTGAGCATGTGGAATAGTAGTGTAAAGCGTAGACAAATTAAAGGTCTTAATGTTGCTGCAAAATTGCAGTGATTGTGATCTGAGATTTAGCAAAGGATCTTTAAAATTTTTGAGAATCCACATCTGATTGACACCACTGGTTGAATATATCTCATTACAATATTTTTGAAGGCCATCTTTTACTGTAGAAAGAATAGTAGTCAACACTTTATAAAGATGTTTAGATGATCGTTCTGTATACGGAGTTTTATGGAGTTTTGGTATCCAGTATAATGACTGGAGATTTTCATCGTTTTCTTTAATGTTTATTCTATATTAAATAAGGACAGATTTGTGATTTTGTAAAATTTCATCCTTTGTAAATGATGTTACAGAATACCAGTTGTGCTGTTTATTCCAAGCTCTTCTCTGAGGCATTGCAAATAATGGTTTTTACATACAAAGACATAATTATTGGAGGCTTTATCTGCTGGAACAACGACATATTTGTCATGCAAAGAGGATAAAGCATCCACAAGGTCCGGGTTCTGGAATGGGTTAGAAACCCTTGTGCTCTCATAGTATATCGTAGTTTCTGAATGCGCTTCTGAGTGCATTATCGAATAGCTTTGATTCATTCAGACAAAGTGTCTAGTTCTTGTTCGTCTGGTTCGCGCTTTACCCATTTTCTAGCATAGTCCTCAACTGCACCCATCAGTAATCTGAAGTTTGTTTTCCAGTTGATGGGCTGGGGAATTCTGTATTTTGGTCCCTTCGCTAACAACTCTCTTAGTTGTTCATTGGTAACGATTCCAAGGTCGCCAGTAATTACATGACCAGCTGGACTATAATGGTATGTTGACGATGCACATGAGCAATCGGGAGGTTTGGATTTTACATCTTTGAGGTAAAAGGCCTTTAAAACCCTCTTATGGTTGAAAATCTTTGATGCAATAGACTTGATGTAAGTATATGAAATTACAGGTGTACCTTTATTTTTGAAGTAATCAGGTATAGTTTTTTGTACAGATTTCAGGTGGAAAATTTTGCTAATATTGATAGCATCTAAACCTTTATTGGCGAATTATACTTTAAAAAAAAATTACGTTTTTCCTCATTTTTGGAAATAGTTGTTACTGGTTTGAATAGTCTATGGTTGGCAATGTCCATGATTATTGAAACTAATCTGAACAAAACAGAATTAGAATCAATGACGGAAGTATTTTGGGCCTCTTGAAATAGTAAATAAAGTTTAGATATGGTGAATGCCTAAGGATTTTGAACAAACGATAACAGGCTATCAATTGTCACGGTGTGAACAGCAGGTGGTGTATAATTTCTGTGACCATTACTTCTATGTCGTAGAGCAGAAGCGTTAAATAATTGTAATTTATTGACAGTACTACACCTGGGACTAGACAAAATACCTTCAACATCAATGCTGTCTTTGCATCCATAGGGAATGGATGTTCCCAACTCTCTTATCCAAAAGTCTTCTCTTTGTAGACGATCACTACCTTGATTTAATTCCGTGGGGTTTGTTTGCTTTTTGTTAAATCATTTCTTTACCAATGTACATTGCTTAGTCTACACACTTGGTAATAGCAGGGGATGAAGTAGAATTTGAAAGAATGCAATCTGTACAAGTTAACTTATAAATTGAATTCGTCATCTGCTTTTAATTATTATCTGTAACTTTGAAGCATATTTTAGGAGGGATAAAAACCATTGAATTCTTTTAAAAGAGCAATTTGATTCAGTTTCCTATTGTTAATGTATGTGGATACTAGATCAATTTTTTATATAAACCCTGAAAAGTGGACAAAATAAAAGACATGGTAGTATGTTCCCCTTTTGTAATGTAAACAATATAATGCTGAATTGTTATCCTCTTCTTATATAGAGAACTACCCTGTCGAGTATATTGCTTGCTTGCCTACATTGAAAGCATATTCAATATATAACTGTATGCATGCGGTATTTTGTCAAATTTCGTATTTTGCTCAGATATTTTAGCACCTACCGCCCCCTTTTTCCCAAACGATAACACCTGCATTACATTATACCAAGATAAACAGAAAGTCATGTGAAGATCGCAATGTACCAATGAATAATTATAATGGCATTTTCTATTAACAACTTGCTCTGTTGCGAGATAAATGCATATAATCAAACAGTAAAAATTAGAGAATCAAAGGAGTCAACGTATCATTTGTGGTTAAGTGATGAATTTTCATTATTGTTCATTGTAATTACAAATTTAATATATATATACGTATCCAAATCTATATATCTTAGTGTTCATTTGAAGCCTTGCATTTTGTTAATTTATGATGGAAGTGGTTTTAGAATGGTTTGATCCAGAATTCGCATAAAGGGTTATGTAAAATGTAGGAAGTACTGGTCAGCGTAGCAAGGGATTTGTTTTTATAAATTGTGTGTCTAAGAAGGAATATGTTTTTGAAGATGGCTTCTACACTCCACTACATGAGTTGCTACTAAGGTATCATACTTCTTTGCTAAAATGACTGACTTCAAATTTTGAAACGAGTATGATTATAACATATATTTTATAGATATCTGACTGCAACTTAGCTTTTCATATATCCTAATCGATAATCTCTTACCAGTTATATGACCCATCAGGGGATAAAACAACCTTATTCAATAACGCATGTAACGGTCAACTTTGGACGAGTGACTTGGCACCCTAATGTCATCAACATTCATAATTTATTAACTGAGAATTGTAGAAAAGTATGTACGAATCATCCTAGTACCAAATCACTGACTACTTAGTTGATGGTTTCTTTGGGAAATGAAAGGCTACCAGTAATGGAAATGTATAAAAATAACACTTTGTGCGTTAGAATCTCTGCTATTTACTTCACCGTAATTGGTAACGCTGAAAACAAATATCCTACCTGGTCAGAATTTTGTCATTTTATTACTTCTCAGTGTAGTAACGGAGAAATTGTGACTAGTACATGTGTTAATTCGTTTTATAGTTAATTTACATGTCTTTCTAGTAAGTTTACTTTCTACCTAGTAAGTTTTTTTCTAAAATTTTGTCGAATTTTGTATTTCACTCTGATATGGTAGCACCTACCACCCCCTTTCCTCCGTACGATAACACCTGTATTACCTTTTCCTGAGATAAACAGAAAGTCATGTGAAGATCTGAATGTACCATAAATAATCATATGGCAATTTAAATTTTCCGCACAGCTTGCTCTGTTGCGAGATAAATGCATATAATCAAACAACCAAACAATAAAAATCAGAGAATTAAAGGGGTCAACGTATTATTTGTGGTTTAGTGATGAATTATCATTATTGTTCAGTGTAATTACAAATTTAAAACATATTAACATCAATTAAGCTATATATCTTCGATGTTCATGTGTGGCCTTGCATTTTTTTATTTATTGATGAAGTATATTCTGTTGGGATACACTTTAAATGATGGAAGTGGTTTAAGAATGGTTGGACCCAGAGTAAAATGTAGGAAGTACTGGTGAGCATAGCGAGGAATTTATTTTCATCAATCTAATGTCTAAGAAGGGTTTTTTTTTTTTAAAGTTGCTTCTACACACAACCTCATCAGTTGCTACTAAGTATCATTATTCTTTGCTCAAATGATTGACTTCAAATTTGGAAACAAGTAAGTGTATAATATTCATTTTATAGTTATCAGAAAATAGAATAAAAAAAAAAAATTACAAACATTATTTCGACTTTGGCCTTTCTAATATCCTAACCGATATGAAAAATGCTGAATATGGTTTTTTGAATAGAAGGGTTGACATCAAACTCGAAACCGATATCCTTTCGGGGTTTTTAAAAGATTATAACATTTAACAATTTAAAAAGCCAAGAGTGTCTAAACAACATAATATGTTACCAGTTATATGACCCATCAGGGGACAAAACAACCTAATTCCATAACGGTCAACTTTGGACGAGTGATTTGGATCCTTAATTTCATAAACACTCATAATTTATCAACAGAGAATTTTAGAAAAGTATGTTACGAATCATCTCAGTACCGAATCACTGACTACTTAATTGATGATTTCCTTGGGAAATGAAAAGCTACCAGTTATGGTATAGACCCAGTGTTAATGTGTAGAAATAACACTTTGTGCGTTTGAATCGCTGCTATTTACTTCACTGTCATTGGGAACGCTGAAAACACTTTTTTTTAAATTAAAAGACGTGTATGTACTTGAAAATGTTGTGTCTGACGACAATTTATTGTTATGAGAATAATTACATATATACTGCCTGGTCAGAATTTTGTCATTTTATTATATACATTCGGATTAATTACAATCACGACAGTTTTGTTTTCATCTATTTACCAAAAGAGTAGCTTTTCCAAAAACTGTTTTTTTTTTAATATTTAATTACGGTTAATGATTCGATGAAGTAGAAATAACTCATCAACTATAAAAGTACACAGTTGTTATAGCTTAATTATTTTTGTACTTGTAAATTGGTTGCCCACATTTTTTGTCATTTTTATTTCTCCTTCGTTTGTAAAAACAAAATACTTACATCAAAAGAAATACAAAATGTACATAAAGGGCCTTAAGTGCCAAAACGTAATACACTTAGAGTTAAGAACTTCTTATTCACTAATGTTTCAATTACCATGATGGTTATAGTATGTAGACATGTAAGTAAAGATGTACTTTGTAACGACTGTTGACGAAACAAGATATTTTGAGAGTAATTATAAAAGATATATGTTATAGGTCAGTTACGCAGTTCTTCCAAGTCTTCAGAAGAACAGTATTTTACCATTACAAAAGCTTCGATATACAGAGATACGTTTAAGCGAACTCGCAATGAATGATATGGAAAACATAATAATATTTATTTTACATATATTTTTATTGGCTACTGTTCACGTTGACGGTAAACCGTGTTCAAACTCCAGTTCAGAATGTCAGCAAGTAAGGATGCCTCTGGTGTCAAACAAACTTAATGCCCAATTGGTCGCCGAACTTGATGTCACGTCAATGAACAATCAATTGAAAACGTACATCCGTGATGACATTAAATCCACTTTATCTGAGGATATCAAAGCCCTGGTGAAAAAGGAGCAAGATGATACAAAGTTCTCGATGTTACAGGATTACTCGTCTAAACTGAATAAGACAAAAAAAGAATATGACAATCACATTTCGGAAGTAGTTCAAAGTCTTGAAGCAAAACAAAGTGAGCTACAGCTTGAAATATCTGATGTTAACAAAAGTATAAGTGAAAGTGAATCAACCTTCAATACGGAAATAACAGCTTTGTTGAGTGGGTTTGAACAAAGACAAGAACGTTTAAAATTAGCAATGATATCGGAATATACATTTAAAATTCGACAATCTGAAGATGCTAACAACCAAAACTTTATTGATCTTGCGAGTGAACAGAAATCTCAATTTGCTGATTTGTCACGAGAATTGAAAGAGGAATTTATGAAAAGTACTACTAACCTGCAAACTCAAAAGAAGGAATTAGAAGAATGGAAAACAAATGTGATGGCAATGCTAAAAGGTAAGATTTATCTTTAAATATTTGTTAATTTTCTTTGTTTAAACTTTGAATAAAAGTTTCTTATATTCCCATTTGACATGAAGATATTTTGTAATTTATATTTTTATTAACCTCATAGTACCCAGTATTCGTATTTTACATCGTATTTGACTTTATACTGTATTGTAATCTGATTTGACTTAATATTCTCATTTAACATGCACGTTTGTTTTATTCTTATTTCACATCCAAGTATTTTTCATTCTGATTTGACATGGAAGTATCTTATATTCTTATATGACAAACAATTATGACAAAACAATCTATACGTTCTACACAGTTTCAATCTCACTCGGCTCAGATCGAAATACCAGATTACATAGTCTCTGTTAACACATTTCTATATCATATGCGAAACAAAAGTGTATTTGCGTCATCGTTAGTCATTCATCTTTATCATATTATTGTGAATAAATACGGCTTTGATATGGTTAACAGAGCAATACAACTTTATATACTAACTTTATACAACTCGGAACATAAATCGTAAGTGGTATATTAAACATGTAGCAACGTATTTTTTTTCATTACTTTTTCCAACATTTGACCCCCTTTTTTTAAATCCTGGTAAGAGTATTACTGCCGATATCTAGATAGCGGCCTAGAAAATATATCTTAAAGAACATGCAGTTCAAAAAAGTTATTGATCTTTGGGTTGACTATATAAACGGTAAACAAAATCCAAATGGTGAAATGAAAAACGTTTATAGAAGTGTACTGTCATTTTTGTCTTATCTGGTTTGACACCCGTGTTTGGTACAACTTTATGTTTAGTTTTCTCAATCGTTTGATATCCCGAATTTCAAATTACTGTTGTTAAAACAAATTTCGAAATGCGCTTTTCGTGTATCAAATTAGATTTTGCAACTTAATCAATAATGATGTATTGATTATGATGAGGGCTATAGTTTGTCAAGTTTTTTTCATTAATGTTTCCAATGGGAACCAATTCTGCCCCTCTTCTTGCCGACCTGTTTCTTTATTATGAGGCTGACTTCATACAGAAACTTCATAGGAAGAAAGATAAGAAGTTAGCAATATCCTTTAACTCTACGTTCTGCTATATAGATAGTGTTCTCTCACTAAATAATACAAAATTTGGTGACTATGTTGAACAAATCTATCTATCCCATCGAACTAGAGATAAAGGATACTACAGATACAGTTAAGTCTGCCTCATATCTTGACTTACATCTAGAAATTGACAATGAGGGTCGGTTGAAAACAAAACTTTACGACAAAAGAGATGATTTCAGCTTCCCAATTGTGAACTTTCCATTTCTATGTAGCAACATTCCAGCAGCGCCTGCATACGGAGTATATATCTCCCAATTGATACGATATTCCCGGGCTTGTGTTTCCTATCATGATTTCCTTGAAAGAGGATTGCTGCTCACAAGGAAGCTATTAAGCCAAGAGTTCCAAATGGTGAAGTTGAAATCATCCCTTCGTAAATTTTACGGACGCCATCACGAGTTGGTTGACCGTTATGGAATAACCGTTTCACAGATGATATCGGATATGTTCCGTATGTGGTAACTACAATACCCTTCCATTTTCACGAATGTGACTTACCGAATTAGACTATTTACCGGATTTATAATAACATAAGCAACACGACGGGTGCCACATGTGGAGCAGGATCTGCTTACCCTTCCGGAGCACCAGAGATCACTCCCAGTTTTTGGTGGGGTTCGTGTTGCTTAGTGTTTAGTTTTCTATGTTGTGTCAACTGTACTATTATTTGTCTGTTTGTCTTTTATATTTTTGGCCATGGCGTTGTCAGTTTGTTTTCGATCTATGAGTTTGACTGTCCCTCTGGTATTTGAAAAGAATAAAGACTGAAAAAAATATCTTCTTAAAAATACCATATTATTGTTTTCCATTTTTAAGAATGCAAATTGGTAAATATTCATTTACGGCGTATACAACATTTTTCTAAAATAATTTGTTTAACTTTTGTGTATGCTTATTATTTTTCATATAAATTATGAGTCCGGAGAGTAACTATGTAATTTACATATAATTATGAAGCTAAAAGAGGCATAACATATCAATTCAGAATACAAACAGTAAGCTTTATAGGAAAAATGCAATTTGATATAAGCCTTTCTCTCCTTATATATGCATTTCCCATCTAATGTAAGAGATAATTTAATAAATAATGTTATTTTAAGAGTGATAATTCTTTTTTGTTTGTTTGTTAAAGCAAGAGTAGTTTGCTGATGTTAAATTCTCGTTAATCGATTAATAGGCAAATCAAGGTAACGACCAACAATTGAGAGAATCATGTGAACTCCAAACGGGGCAAATCCATATTCAGTCAAAAAAGTGTCCGTTGGAAATGGGACACAATCGGTAAAATTACAGATCAGACGACTATACTGATAGCTAATGATCTGATAACCCGATAACATGTCGCTAGTGAGTCGAACATCCACCACATTCTATCGATCGACCAATAACCGCCAAACTTATGTAGTGTCATTTTTAGTCGTTCTTATTTCATAACGGTGTTAAAAGAAAGTACTAAGCAGAAGGTTTCCTAAGGATTAATGAAGCTGCTACTTTATAAAAATTACCTGAATCTTACTTCTTACCCCGAAAATTTAACCACATATGTGAAAATGTCTCAGCTTCGAAACGAACCCTCATATAAATCCAAGTTTACGATATGGGCAGAGAAGTTTTCGAAAATGCTATCATTACCGCCTGCCTGACGTTTCCTGCTAATATTGACCCAGTTGTTGTTTATCTGTTCAAATCATCAAAGTACTTAATTGTCTAAAAAAGCTACTAAACATTACTTGCTTCACTGGAGGCAAATTTTCTGAACAGTACTGAATGTACAATTGTGTTAAGGTTTTGAACTGTTAGATGATTTTAAGATCAAACAAGTGGAATTAAGACCAAAATTCATTTACTTATGTCATTCATAAATCTTTATCTCTAAATTATCCATTTATTTTGAAGTATAAATGTTTTAATTTCTTTTATGACACACATTGTAAAGACAACATTTCAATTTTTTTGTGTTCATCTGAATACTACAACAATACGAACGGACATTTTTTTTTTACAGGGGTTTCATTAAAACATCATCATGATAGTAAAAAAGAACCTTTAAATAAAAGCAACAGTAGTATACCGCTGTTCAAAAGTCATAAATCGATTGAGATAAAACAAATCTGGGTTACAAGCTAAAACCGAGGGAAACACATCAACTATAAGAGGAAAACAACGAAATAACAGACAGCAGATGAAAATTCATTCCTATATTCTAAGATGTTGTTACTTATCTTCAAACAAAATGATAAACATACAAATTTGTTTTTAACATTAATCGATTGTGATGTACATTTCTTTATATTGGACGATAGACTGTATATATTCTTGACTGGAATGTCTGAGTTCATTACACAAAAGAAAGCATGGTCTTAATTTAAAACAATTATATCATGGGTATGAAAACGAATGACTGAACTTATTTCTACAAACAAACATTTTGTGTGCACAGAAATTGGAAACTTCTCTTTCATTTAACTACAAGAGAGATGTTTAGCTGCTGTTGGGCAGCCATTCCCCGGTGATATTATTCGCAAATTAGCAAATCAGGTACCGGTATGGTTGAGAAGATATATTTATTATTTATTTGTGTGTATTTTTTTTATTGATTATTTGAATATACAAAATGTTATGGACGGATTGACCAATTTGCTAATGGATGAATGAATGAATGCAAAAATGAATTGGTGATAAATTATTCAATTATAAATGTTATATGTATCTAAGGACTAGCAAATGCTGATTTTATTTGATTATGCGACCTGCTTTACCCGGCTGAAATCCTGAGTCTAAATTGTAATGTGCTAGTTTGAAGGATATCAATCCACAGGAAGGCATGTATTCCTATTACACATATTATTCGGACTCAGATACCAGTCTGTTCTCTTATTTCTACGCGATGCAAATACTATTAGGTTACAACTCCCGCAAAGTTTTTGGCCTATGACGAGTTTTACTGTTACATTTTTTATATTATTACTGATTTTTATTTCCTTTTTTTTTTTTGCATTTGCCTTTTTAAACTTTAGCATATAGCTTAGTTTATGGAAGTCATTCAATCATGCAGTGCTGTCGCTACACTGGTGTCTGGCTGTCAATAAATGCCCGAGTGGCAAGGACGATAGTTATGTTTAAACATAGGTCACAATACCTCAGGCAAAATTGACCTTAACCAATATCTATCATGTTTTATCGCCATTAAATGCCTTATGCATTTGGTTTGTTCGAACACATACATGAGAATGGTATTCAAGACGAATGTGACGTGTACATATTAATCGGTATCGTACGTTTATATAACCTCTTCCGTTAGTTTATAGTTGTTCTTAGCCGTTCAGAGATTGTTAGGATGACTCCTTTAGTTTTGCGCTGTGCCATTTTCTCCTAGTACATCAGTAAAAGAAAAGTGTTCAACGTGCATATATGCTACATTAAAGTAGGTTCGGTATATCGTAATTGTGTTACGATGACGTCAATATTTTGTGGAAATTTTTTTTGATGAGATTATGTTTGTCATTTGAATTTGTTTTGAAAAAGAGTGGAAATCAAACACCAAAGGTTAAACAAATAAAGATCACCAGTAAATGAACACGATAAGCACCTTATGAATGATACAAAACGGTTAAAGATTTTGTGTTAATCTGTAGATGTATGTTGTGTGATCGAGGTGCTGTGTCAGTGTTTGATCCGTGACATCTCCTTATTGCCATCATTGTTTTCTTTCAATTAATAATAAAATATTATTTCACAGGTGCATTTGCTTCTTTACAATATAAGGACTGCAGCTACATGAAAGGACAACAACGGGAGAGTGGAGTATATACCATATACCCGGAATATACAAATGGAATCAAAGCCTACTGTGATATGTCCACTGATGGAGGTGGATGGACAGTATGATTATACTTTTATTCTTTAAAACTGTTTGAATGTTCACTTGTTAACGATTTGGATATGACTCTTAGTTTTGATACTTACTTGTGCTAATTGAGAATTAGTCTGATAATAATAATGGCAGACAAGGTCTAAATATCTTCAGCACATTTAAATTTACTGAAAATCATTAAGAAAGTTATTAATTATGTGTATATATTATAAAGTAAGCAATGCAATTTGCTGTATTGTTTAACTTGGTTAAAACATTCCGTCCATTTCAAATTGTGTAAATTGTTAATAAGGATCGACCGCTGAACTCCCATTTTTCATCTAATTTCATGCAAAGTAATAATGCATTTGCAATCAAGTTTTTTGTTGTAGCAAATATAATTTCCTAAAAATCAATAAAACGAGAAATAAATGATTTGAACTGAGAACCAATCCGGTATAAAATATTTCCAATACATATCAAATCATTATGATTTATGATGTCTGCATACAAATTTAATTGACGTAATTCATCATGTTGTCGGGAGTTTTATGTATCGTCATGTGGTTATTTTCCATAGTGTACAAATGAACTACAAAAGATATGTAATTGCGTTGTAGGTAATACAAAGAAGAGTAAATGGAACAACAGACTTCGAAAGAAACTGGGTCGATTATAGGGAAGGCTTTGGTGATCCACAGAAAGAATACTGGCTTGGTAAGTACCATTGTAAATAATTGTATCATAACAATATTGATACCTGACATATTTGTCACATATCTATTCCTTTAACATTATTTAAAGAGTGATCGATAAGTTTAAATTGTTTAATTCCACCTTATGTAATAATACTGTATTTTGATTGGATGAGAGAAATGGTATTTTTCACAATTTTCTATATATTGAGATTTTCTTTCCAGTGTATTTGTTATTAGGGAATTCCATGTGCCGGGGTATTTGCTAGCAAATACCATGGCAGATGGGGAATACCATGTCTAAAAATAACTCAATGAATTATTCTTATTCTAATAGCACGAATTGATGGTTATTCTTTATATACTGCAACTCCCACAACTGTTCCAAATAAAATATTCAGGATAAAAACCATCATTTTTTAATTTGGAGCGAATGACGTAAAAATTCCGCGAACCTGAACTTTTATGACGTCATTTATAAAACTCATTGGAAACGCGTTGTCAAACTCATACATAAGGAGATATACGGTCAGTGACTGTACATCAGAAATTATAATACGGTCAATGCAATCTGACTGCGCAAATAGCACACTCCAGCTGCAGTATATGCAAAAATTATACAGTCAAGCAAAAACTCCAAATGATACCTGATAACAATAAAAAAAAACTGAGGTCAAGATGGATACAAAGAACATTCGGTGGAATTAAACAATTATATCATGCTTACAAGGAATATTTGCCGAAAATACCGGTTTCAAGGTAAACAAATTTCCCTCGCCTAACGGCTCTGGAAATGTGTTTACCTCCCAACCGGTATTTTTGGCAAATACCCCTCGTTAGCATGATATATTTGTATAATATCTCTTTTGTTCTTTTGTTTTCCCCAAACATACAGTAATCGAACTACCAATGTAATAACCAATATTGCACTTCTAAATAAATGAATAGCAAAATTCATTTGAATCACAAGTTACATTTCTTTTTTCAAGTTTATCGAAAACTTAATGGCACTGAAAACGAGATGTTTAAAATCTGGAAAGACAAATGTACCCTTAACTTAAACTTGATTAACATATCATAGCATCGATAGGGTAACAATCATAATTTACACTTTTCTTTTTTATTCCATGTATCAACAACATCATTTGTTTTTTTTACCTATTGTTTTGTTGGTTTGAAGTCCACAACCAACAAGGTAGCATAAGAAGTGTTAAGCTGGAGGAGTATTTTTCCATTTGTTTGATGTGTTTGAGCTTTTGATTTTGCCATTTGATAAGGGACTTTCCGTTTTGAATTTTCCTTGAAGTTCGGTATCGTTGTTATTTCCATTTTTTACAATCAAATATATGTATTTTTTGTCAATTTAAATGTTTTTGCTATATTTATAAGATACAAACATATAAGAAGAAAAACACACGCTACCTATCTTGATACAACGTTGGTCAGTGTTTTCGAATAACTGAAATGCAGCCATTTTTTAGGCTATACATGCTTCTCTTTTCATTAATAATATTTGGATCTCTTTCGTTCCTTAACTTCATCTTTGAATACAACATGTATTTTCAGGACGAAAATAGTATCATATAACTTGAATATACAATACGTTTTCCGGAACCTATGCCATCAATCATTTAAAGTTCCATCGAATATGGTATCGTTTGAAATTGAGTCAATATATCCACTCTCATTGTTTTTGGTTACGAGACTGAATAAATTCAAAATCAGTTAAGCCGAGAACCAGCAGATAAAAATCCAAAATACAATGAGTTTCATTTAAACGATTCCTTAAATCATTCACAGTTTCGTTGCATTAGATTTTATTCGGTTTGGATCAAATAAACTATCCACCGCAGTCAATGTAAATGAGAGACAAAAGATACTAAAGGGATTTTTAAACTCATAAGTCGAAAATAAACCGAAAACGTCATTTAGTAGTTGTAATGGTAGTTTAATGTGTCATGGTACTTTAAAGTTTGTTCCTAACTATTGAAAAATTGTACAGTTCACTATTTACCAGATTAAATTTTAAAAACAGTATTCTGTTTTTTTGCTTTTAAATATAAATAAGTTTATAATCCGTTTCTTTTTTATTAATTGTAAAAGTAAACAAAGTTGTGTTAGTGGTTATTAAACATATACATTAAACATTTTTTGCTGCGCAAATTAAAATTGAAATCACACCAATGTCATATTTCATTACAGGTAACAAATATTTAAACATTCTTACGACTAATGGTAAATATGAACTAAGAGTAGATCTAAAGGACACATACAACTGGATGACGTATGCTTTGTACAAGACATTTAGTGTTAGTGACGAGAATTCACAATACAAGCTCACAATTGGGGGATATAGTGGAACACTAGGTAAGTTTGTCTAAATGTAGTAACGTTCCTGCAATGAAGATTTAAACGGGTATTTTTTTTTCAATTTCAAATGAGTAAACTGCGCTACATTTCTTACTATATGTGCACGAAAATAAAATCAAAGTAATCAGATACAAACAAACATTATGCCGTATATGTTTTATTCAAATAGCTTGGAAACTGATGTTACTCTGTTACTCTTCAAACAATTTGTTACATGTCTTAAATATCAGTCTTTGATACCCAGTTATTTGTTGAATCTAATTGTTCATTTACATAAATGATATTTCAGATTATTGTTCTCTATGAATGACTTACATCATTTGCTAAGGAGAATCCAAAGTAAGCTAGTTACTGTTTGCTTTTGTGTTCATATTTCTGTACTAAATTTGAAAATAAAGTGAAAACTTATAGAAACGGCAAACATATCGATACCCGGTATCATGTCTAGGGTACTCAGCATTCTCTACTTATACCCAAATTTCGATACCCGTCGGCCTCCACGAATGTGATTTAATTTTCGGATAAGTAGGCCTCAATTCCGATCAAACCAACCATAGCTAACACATAGATGATCTTTGTTACCTTGATATGTAGATAGGAGGTCTAAATTAAAATCGATACAATCTTTTAATAGGTTGCCAAATATAGTCCATATCTGGGTTTTTTCAAATACATAATAAAAATTCTATGTCACGGGTCTTGTTAAAGCAACAGGTTATGAAAAATGTTTAGATTTTGTATAGATTGTTCCTGGAAAAACATAACTTTGTTTCATAACAAATATACACCACAGACTTTTAAGATATTATATGAGACGATATCTCTGATTTTGGGCTTTCAGACCAGAAAAAGTAAAATAGGATCACGGGATTCATTTTGTTTACCTCAAGAGGAAATAGGTTTATTCATAAAACAGTTCAGTATAAAAGGTACATTATCTGAGTTATATCCCCTTATATGACAAAGAGACACAAACAAATATGAATCAATTTTTTTTTTAAGAATTAAAAGGAAAATAAAAAGTCGCATAAACTATGATAAAGCACATTCAATTCTTTATTCACACTGAAAAGTCTAACAAATGAATTACATTATTCTCATTAAATTTGCACTGTTCATATAAGATATTGACAAATTGTTTTTTGGTATTTTACCATCCAAAATGGCAGAAGACACATGAGCTACCTTAAACGATGTATGACATTTGACTATTGGTAAAATTAATGTTGCCTTTATTAATCATTCAAACATTTCTTCTCTTCCTGTCTTTTATTTACCCCTGTGCCATTAAAAATGCTATCAATGCATGATTATTACATTCGCACAAACTGATTAAATGTCTGTTAATTTTTTTATGATAAGCAAACTCATTTAAAACTTTAAGTAATTATAATCTGAACATTTGGATCCATGTTTGTATGATGATCGATATTTGATAAACCAGTTAATGAGGATGCATTGAACTAAAATACCGGAAAATTACAAAAATGATACATAAGAACAAACGGGAATATACAAAGATATGTAACTATTGATTCAGATAGGTATCAATACATTGATTTATAAATAAACCTATGTTTTATTGAATTTAGAATGCACGAATCAATTAATATCGAACACTTTGAATTGTGCTGTCATTTTCGATTAACCTGAAATTCCACCAGTTAACATGTTCTTTAAATAAAATATTGCTGAAAAACGTATTCCGTTTGATTTAATTTCGTTTGAAATAATACAATTTACCTTTAGAATTAAATTTTCAGAAACATCGTACATGTTTTACCTATAAATATAATATTACCCCTTCCACCCTAAAAGCCGTTGCATAACAAGTAATGCAGGTTTATGTATTTCAGGTTTTCTTATATACCACATGTATACTGTGGACAGGTTTTTTTTATCGAACGCTTTCCATAATAATTGTTTTAGGTATTTGTTTCTGGTTGTAGGTAAACATTATATGATAAAGAATGAAAAAAAAAAGAAAAAAATCTACATAACCAAAAAATTAGTAAAAACAAAGTTAAGACTGCTTAGGCATGAGACGGCACAACATGTGAAAGGATTAAACTATTTGTCAATGTACCGAGTCAGTCCCCAAGTTTGCCTCCAATTGAAATATCATTATTATGTGTACAAAGATGTATTATAAAATAGTGCTTTTTGTTTTAGATAATGGGATGGCATACAACAATGGTAGGAAATTCACCACAAAGGATCGTGATCATGATAACTCTGGAGAAAACTGTGCTATAAAACGTGGCGCTTGGTGGCATGGAGTCTGTAGTCCTGCACAACTGAACATCGACATGACAAAGAAAAAACTATATTGGTACAGATATGATTTTATCACGTCAAGTATGATGATCAGAAAAATTATGTAAAGAGAATGTTTTCCGTTACATTTAAATGCCGATCAATATAAAAATTTAATTACGTTATGATAAAACAAACGTGATTTGCATATTTGTTATAAGTGTGTCAAATTATTTATAATGTTCAGAAAACTGCGTGAAAAATGAATGAACAAAATTATAATAAAGTAAGTATAAGAAACACGCATTGTTTATTGTTTTCCATTCATCTGATTGACAATCATTAAAACAATAAATCCTAAGTAATCTCTTTTATTTACATTAAATAATAGATTTTTGTCAATGAAAAAAGGGTTATGGGAAGTATATATATCTATCGATAAACTTCCTGGATGAAAACACTTTCAATAAAAACGTACTGCAAATTGAATTATAAATTGGAAATACCAAGCAATTGGTCACCTCTGTATCTCTTAACACGAGATATCATGTATGGCTTCAACATTACGACCGGATTTTGCTCTGTATTTATACAATCCTCATAACCAAAGAGACGCAGCTCTCGTCATAGATTATGTTCATATTCGGTGACTTAGTACACTTCCGAAACAGTACAAATATACAACTATTCAGTAAGGTTACTGACTTAATTTATAACTTCTTGTCATTTTTTACAGCACTCAGTCGATACCTCTGCTGGTGGACTATCAGCCTAGTAGTCAGTACTTCGGTACAGACATGATTCAGAACAAAACTTTCTAAAATTGTCCGTTAATAACTTTTGAAATGATTAGAAATTAAAGTTTCAACTCCCTCAGGCAAAGTGTACCTTAGATGGATTTGGCTATTTTTTTATGTCATTTTTGGGAATATAGCTCTTCGACTGTTTCGGTTCTTCTATATCTTTGGCTTTCAAGTATTCTGCTCTAAGCGTTCCTGATGAATGTAGTTCCAGAAAAGCGCTTCGGACGCATGCAATTTGTAACGTGTTGTTTTAATTTTTTTACTTGGAATATAAAACTCATCAACTATGCATGTATTATGTTTAAAGTTTTGTAAGGAAGTATTGAGCACTCTCAAACATGTTTAATCCCACCACATTATGTATTCAGGAGCCTGTAAATCAGTTGTTGTTGTTGATTGTTATCTATCATATTTATTTTTCGTTTAGTGTTGTGTTCAACATCAGGTCATTTTGTCATTTATGACCTTGTAAAGCTTTGTATACGACTTTGATTTTGCTCATTGTTTAAGGCCGTTAAGTTGGCAACATCTGAATCATTTGGAGTATAGGTATTGCAAAGGCATTCATACCACATCTTTTAGCTTGTATATAACATATAGACGTAAGATACCAAAGGGAATTCAAACTCATGAGTCAATAATAAACTGACAACGCCATGGAAAGAAATGAAAAAAAAGACCAACAGACAAATAACCAACGCAAAACACCACACTAAAACCGGGGATAATCTCAGGTGCTCCGGTAGAACAAGCAGAATCTGCTCCACATATGGCACCCGTCGTGTTGCTCATGGTAGTACATACCAGGTTATGTCTTATTCGGTAGGTCACATTTTGTGAAAAAAGGACGGGATAGTGGTTACGGAAATGGAACATACTTATCGTCATCCGCGAAACAAATATTCAAGAACGGTCAAACAACTCGTGGTGGAGTCCGTTAAATTTACGATGACATGAATACAACTTCACCACTTGAAACTTTTGTTTTAAAAGCTTCTTCTTCAAAGGAAAGCATGATAATAAATTTAAGCCCTTGAATCAAAAGCTCAAACACATCAAACGAATGGATAAGAACTGTCATATTCCTGACTTGGTAAAGGCATTTTCTATGTAGAAAAAAGTAGATTAAACCTGGTATTATAGCTAGCTGAACCTCTCAATTCGCAGACAGTCGCATGAAATTCCATTATATTGACAAGAATGTGTGAACAAAACAAACAGACATAATAGGTAAAAATGTACAGCAGTCAACATTGTTTTATAATCTTAATCACTATAAAAACAAACAAAGGTGTACATGTAGGCAAAGAAATACAAAAAGGCACATAAGCAAAAATAAAAGACAAGAATACAAAAACTTACCCTAGCACAATAACACAATGACGGGATATATAAGAACCGAGCCACGTCAAAGGGATATTACCAAAAAATAGACTGAACAGTAAAGGTAATAAGTTACAAAGACAAATAAAAAACCAATATAACACGTAATTAAGATGATAAACAACGTAAGTACCTAGAATCTATACTTCAAGACCATCGTTTATTATTTGTGAATTCGAAACGGAATATTTATCAACCTTGTTTTTAGAAAAAGGACGAGACGTTCTTTAAAATCACCCTGGTTCATCAACTTTTTGCTCAGACATTGGTGACGTTTTATACAGTCGTCTGAGTAGCAGCTGCAAGCTCTTGAATACCGAAAGAGTTGGGAAATGTATATCCCATATGCAGGTGAAGTTGGTATATTGCTACAAAGGTGGGGGAAATTGATAATTTCAAACTTAAAATCGTCTCGTTTGTCATTGATTCTGGTACTGAGATGACCGCTTATGTCAAATTCGAGGTATACGTCTAAAAATGAGGCAGAGGAACCGTGTCTGTTGTTTTTTTTTTATTTATAGTTCTGGAGGATATATTAATGGAACCAAATCAGAAAAGTTTGGATTGTTAATTAAGAAAAACTTCATCAATATATATGAATGAAAAATTAAATGATCTGGCTTTTTTGACAAGTGTCTGAAGGTTTCCGACTCGTATGAAAATAATTAGAGGTTGGCAAGGAGAGGCGCACAGTTCGTTCCCATAGGAACGCCGACATTTTGTTGAAAAAGTCTACCTCCAAATTCAACAAATTTGTCAATAAGAAACTCCAGCATACTAATCACAGTATCAAAGCAATACATTTATAGTGTATGCTACCCTTTTTTTGTTGAAAAGCATTGTGGATTAATTCGTTAAGACGATTTTTCAGTTTCACATTGGAAATGATGGTATACAGGGTTGAAAAATCAAAAGTTTTGATAAAACTAATTTTGGAGAAAGATCGAGATTCAAAATTATCCAGAAGTTCTTAAGAGTTTTTCAGAATCCACATATGGTCAATACCACTACGCGAGTAAACAGTTTCACAGTATTTCTGAAGACCCTTTTTCACTGCAGACATATTGTTGGTCAGTCTAACGGACAATTCCTTAGTCGAACATGCAGATGAGTCCTCAGTGTACCGTTGTTTGTACGGAATTTTGTGAAGCTGAGGTATCCAATACAAATAAGTTAAGTCCTCCGATTTGGTGTTCAATGTAATGTTTATTGAAGCCATAGAGAACTTATGATTCGCAAAAATCTCCTCCTTGCCAAATGAAATGTTTGTGTATTTTGGATTACCTGAGTGCTCATTTATTCCCAATTCTTTTACAAGACACTCGTAGTAGTACCATTTACTTACAAAGACAATAATATCTGAAGCTTTGTACGCAGAATCAAAAACATATTTATCGTGAAGAGATGCTAGACATTTCACAGCTTCTTTGTCTGTGAAAACGGACTTTGGTCGATCATTCACACAACTTCTCAACTTATGATTCGACGTTTTGTCTGAGACCTATTTGTTTTTATCCATCCTGACAAAGTGTCCAGTTCAACTTTTTCTCTTTTAGCCCATAATCTGGCGTAGTCCTCAATGGAATCCATAATTATATTGAAGTTATAGTTCCAATTGATGTGTGTGATGGGTTCTCTAAACTTAGGACCATGAGATATCACCTTTCGGAGATGTTCATGCTGAATTATGTTTAGATCCACAGTAATAACATGGCAAGAGGGGCTGTAAATAAAAGGCGAGTAGGAACAGTCACATGCCAGAGGGTTTTTAGGTATTGTTCGAAATCAAAGTCATGCAATGCTTGCTTATAGCTAAATACTTTAATTGCAATGGTTTTGCTGTAACTGTAGGATACATTAGGAGCAGACTAATTTTGAAGATAAAGTGGAATTTAGATGTTTTCTCCTTGTCATGAAGAATGTTGCTGATGTCGATTGCATCAGTTACTTTATTGGTGAACTGAAATAGATGGAATTTCCTCTTTTCAGCAAGTAAAGGTTCAGATCTTACTGGTTTAAAAAGACAGGAAAAGGGCTACATCACAAATTACACTGACCACTCTGTATAATGCAGAAAATGTATTTATGTATCCTTTGTGCACAATCTCTTAAACATGTTAGAAAATAAACAGGCAGTGAAAAAAGAATAAGTCTAATGTAATGCAACCTTAGCGGATGATGAAAATGTGAAAGAAGGTGATCAAAGATCCCAGAGGGCGATCTAGATTTGGAAGACCTTTTTACATTAGGCCGATGGTAATGTTTTTGCCCATGACTACGCTGGTGTCTTAAAGTAGTATTAAATAAGCTCATTACATTTACATCACTGCAGACTGCAAAATAGAAATGAAAAATTCACAACTGTGCAGCTCTATATAGGTGTTTACATGATTTCAAATTTTCTTCAATCACCAGGCAAATTAGAGCTTAGATGGATTTCGTTTCTATTCTTAAGACCCATTTCGGTCATATAGTTCTTTAACGGTTTTTGGTTCTAATACATTATTGTCTTTCAAAATTTCGTCTTGAGCTTCCTGCTTATGGTGAATACATAACAACGCTTCGAACGCATGACATTTATCAAGTGTTATTTTCATTTTTTATCAGTAATTGCGTCTCGGTTTTCCTCTTCTTTTGGGTGAATGATACTTATTTCCTGATTTATAGTAAAACAACAGTAATAAATTGCAAGAAAACCATGTTCATTGATCATTAGGTAAACTCCATTGAAAAAGTGTTACATAGACTATTCAATAATGCCTTCCGCATCAAATAATAAGTCTATATAGTAAGAATCAGTCCATTCTATAGAATTTCAATCATAAATTCAATGCGTTGTATTATTTTATTTGTCTTGTTTTTTTTTTTATCAATTTTGTTAATAATGCAGTGACTTCAAAAGATAAAATATTTTTTGCATAATAAAATACTATATTAAAAACGTTTAATGAGGCACAAATTATACAAACATGCATATACTGCCGAGATGTTATAATTATAAAATAAACATAATTTAAACAAAAAAATGTCAATATGTATAACATGATGCAGAAAAATCTCTCAGAAACTCATTTGCGTTTCAAAGATACAATGCGGAAATGACACGCAGTGATGTT